TCCGGTGGACGTTTTTTCTTAACAGGTAATGATTTCATTTTATTGTTTGATGGGTCTCTTGTGTCGTCGGAGAGCCACTAGTTGGGCGCCAGTTGAAACGGAGCACCCGGTTGGGCGATCCGTGTCTTGAAATAAAGAACGCTGGATTTATTGGTAATCAGTGATCTCTATTGCTATGTGAAATATATTTTAATTATAATAAGGATAGCGTAAAGCGTCGATTTGTGTCGACCAGACTTGATAAGTGGGTCGACACAATCGGGGGCGCTTGGTTTATGATCGGGCAAGTGCCGGATCCTATATTACAAAGTGATGAATAATATTGATTGTTTATGTACAAAATTGAACGGGCCAGGGAGTTGGCCGCCGTCGGTACAAGCTTGATTAAGCGGTACTCCGACAGCGAACCAAACTCGGGTCGAACAACTTGAGTAAGTGTCGAGGTATTGTGAGTGGTGGCCCTGAAAAGGGCCGTTTAATAGTGTGACGTCGGAGTCTGTGGAACGGCGTGTCGTATCGTCGTTGTTGCGGTGCCGATCGATGCTGGTCCGCGTCGTGGAACGGTAACGTGGTTGGTGCTCGGCGATTGGTTGATGTATACTGCCGTAGCGCGGTGCGTCGTCGATATGCCGTCGGCCGGTATGACTCTTCGCCGTGGAGCGGCGTGCCGCCGATGTGTAGTCGGTCCGTGAGACTGTTCACCGTGGAGCGGTGGCGCAACTGGAATGCGGCGGTCTGCGGCCGTGGAGCGGCGCGTCGTCGATATGCCGTCGGCCGGTATGACTCTTCGCCGTGGAGCGGCGTGCCGTCGACGTGTAGTCGGTCCGTGAGACTGTTCACCGTGGAGCGGTGGCGCAACGGGAATGCGGCGGTCTGCGGCCGTGGAGCGGCGCGTCGTCGATGCGTAGTCGGGTAATGCGACTATTCACCGTGGAGCGGTGGCGCTGCTGGCATGCGGCGGTCTGCGGCCGTGGATGCGTAGTCGGTTTGCGGTCTGGTCTGGTCCTTCTGTTCGTCTTGTTTCTGTTGATCAGGTACTTGTTGACGGTTTGAAGGTAATGAATAGACTGGCTAGATTGTCGAAAGTGTCCGGTATTTATACCCTCTTCGACAATCTAGCCCATCGCTCATTGGCCCGTGTTCTTCGTTATGACAGATGAAAAGCACACCGTTGTCTTGTTGTTTACCTTTGTTCGGTGTGGTTTTCGTCTGTCAAACCGTTCTTTTTTGTCTAATTATGTTTGTTGGTCTTGATAAAAACCGTTTTCGTTGTTGTGGTATGTTTGCTCCGTAACAAATTATAATAATAATAATCATTTTCATTAATTTTTCACATTCACATTTACTTTTCATTTGAATGGTTCCACTAAAATGTATTTGTAATCTATAATATCTGTTCACTGTTGGAAAAGAAACTTCGTCTCTACCGGGTGTCCCATGACACCACTCATTTTTTTTATTATTATTGATATGATATACCCAAACTGATAAGATTAATGGAGCCGTTTGGCCAGGATTTAATTTTTTCACTTAGCTCCACGGTCAAGTGGATCATACAAGAAACAAATGCATAGACGAGAAAATAGTTTAAAAATAACGAATTCCAGTTTGGTCAACGTGAATTTTCCGGTTTTCCGTACAAATGTACAATCTTGCAAGTTTGTAAGATCTGTGAAAATGTATGGAAAACCACTGGAAAGATCTAAAAATAGCATGTTATTATTAAGAAAAAATTAGTTACCCACCTACCTATTGTGTATTAAATTTCCAGGTGAATATTTATGGAATTTTTGAACTCTCGAAAAATGTATTAAACACAAAAATCTGGACCTACGCCTCTACTCACCTCACCTATTCATTTCACCATTAATTGAGTGCATCATTGACCATACACTGAGTAGGTAACAAATAAAATAACGTGAACCCGACCAGACATATAAGTCTAAATACCGGATTTCACATAAAATGCAATTTGCTATTTTCAACATCATAATATACTTGATTATGCAGTCAATGAGTGACCATAAATCATTACTTGATTAATTAAATATCAAAATTTTCTACTGCACATTTTTACATATTCCGTCGATAGTGCATGGTTTGCATAGTTTTGCATATTTAAAAAAAAATATACAAATATAACACACGATAATCCAAAAAGGTGTTGATAAAAAAAAAAAGATTATAGGTAGGTACCTATACGTTTATACAGGGTGATCCATTTAACATAAGACACTTAGGTATTATACGAAAAGTAGATGTTTTAGCGATAAAGTGTCTTACGTTAAATGGATCACCCTGTATATTATCAAATATTTTACGTTTCGAAGAATTACATTTTTCGTACTTATTAAAATGTTATTTACTCGGTTTGCAATGCATAAATATTTAAAAGTTAAATTTAAATTTAACAAATTACCTACGTTTTTGTACTGCATACAATTTTATTATGAAATTAGTAAATAACTAACAATGTAAAATTAGAACAATATATACAATTTAATAAAACGAGCAATTTTATTATGCATGTTTCGCATTTTTTTTCTTGCATATATGTTGTACTATGGTTTTCCTTCACATTTTAAAATTTTAAATGCATATAAATCCGGTCTTTACATAATATAACCTATTAATTCGTTACCATTTCCAATATCGCAATATATTTATAACCTTTGCTAATTGAAATTTTTCTACTCGGTTTTCGTTTGGCATAAATCAAGTGAGTGAGCATATTCTTAGCAAATTGAATCATAATATTTTAATCAACACGATAATCAAAGTTTAACATAATATAAACATAAGACATGAAGGTATTGTTTTATTCATACAACAATATACTATATTATGTAGAATGTACGTTTAGGACGTTATCCCGACAGCCTGCAATAACCTTCCTTGAAATCTTTTTTCACGTGTATTATAATTATTTATTATTTATTATTGAATATATTTTATAAAAGTATAAAAGTTAGTTAAATTATTAAAAACCTCTCTACGTACTTCAAAGATTATAATCACAAGGTTGAAAATGTTTTGGTATTACAACACACTGTAACCTATTATAGAAATTATTAAGACCATACCGTTATCCACGTCTTTCTTATCAATTATTTTTATAACTCTGTAAACAGTATAAATAATACACGAATAATGTTGTGATAATAGATTATGAACTATTGTGGTATTTTGTAAATTTCAACCGTGAAATCTCAACTCATGATATAATATAGGTACTTTTAGATTCGATGTTATACTATATTTCATTCGGGTAAGATATATTTTATTGTTGCTCACCGAAAAAAAAATGTACACAAAGAAATATTGAGGGGAGGACGATCGCCCATATTACCCCCATTCAATACGTCGAGGACATATCCATGCGATTCGTACAATTCATACGACTCCGTTAATGTTATACCTATTGAATGACGTCCATCTCACATAATACTCTCCACCACCATCTTATCACCTCGTGCATATATATTATCAATGGCGTACGCAGTGGAGAGGATGAAGTGGAAACGATCGTTTCCCGAGGCTTTTTTTTTTGACCACCTAAATACCAGGTATGGAATTTTAATATTTCGACTATGGACTGGAATAAGGCTGCGTGTAATCTTAAAGTTATACTTATCGTAGATACATTAAATAGTATATTTGTATTTTATTGGTTTTCGTCTTATCTAAAATATTCTCACGATATAATATATGTATAATATTATAATCTATATATTACATTATATATATATGTATATGAGCCAAATACCACTTGCTCACTCTTTCATCGCTATATCCCAAAAACTACAAAACATACCCACTTTAAATTTGGAATAGTATGGTTTCTCTATTGATCTATAAATGTGCAGTAAGGAAAGATTAACCGGGGGGCTGGGGGAGCCATTGGCCTCTTTCTACGCACCCGTTTTGTTGTGCACCCATAGCCCCCTTACACATGTTTCTAGAAATCATCCACAACCTCCTCTCCGCCTTTGAAAATTCCTGAGAACGCCACTGATAGAAAATATATACTATATAGGGTTTTTCACAAAAAAACTGCACACGAACGAAATCGGCCAGATATTCTGCAGCTAGTAATATAATATTATATTTAAGGTCTTTGATATTTGGATATTTTTTTTTTTTTACTTAGGTATACTGGGTGATTCTTTTATCAAACAACACTCATTATTTCAAAAAGTGTAAATTTTTTTGAAGATATTTTTTTACATAGTTTCAAGTCGCTTATAAAACAACGTTTTTATTAAAAAATTATTTTTTTAATTAATTTTTATTCTTATAATTTTTTAAGTTTTTTACTTTTTTGAATGACAACATAGGGTTTTAATTTTATATTCTAAAGTAGAATATTTTTCTTAGTATTTTGATACATGAAAATTTAATTTGGGGCGAGTAGTTTATGAGTTATAAGTATTTAAAGTTTAGACGAGCGGAGTGGAGTGGTTCGGGGTTACCCCGCGAGACGTTTGTCCACTTCACCGCTCGTCTAAACTTTAAATACTTATAACTCATAAACTACTCGCCCCAAATTAAATTTTCATGTATCAAAATACTAAGAAAAATATTCTACTTTAGAATATAAAATTAAAACCCTATGTTGTCATTCAAAAAAGTAAAAAACTTAAAAAATTATAAGGATAAAAAATAATAAAAAAAATAATTTTTTAGTAAAAACGTTGTTTTATAAGCGACTTGAAACTATGTAAAAAAATATCTTCAAAAAAATTTACACTTTTTGAAATAATGAGTGTTGTTTGATAAAAGAATCACTCAGTATTATCTAACGTTAATATAATAATTTTGAGTTCAAACCATAGAAAATCTTTGTAACCACGTCTGTTATAATAATTACGGTTGTGATGATGTTATTGCATATTATAGATGTGGGACTGCGGTGACTTCACGGGTTATCGCCAAGAAACAGCGGCGGCAGAGACGTACAAAATATAACTAAGACGACGACCGACACAGCTGTGGACAAAATGAGTCTGTTCAACACGTCGTACCTGATGGGCAACGACACGACGGGAGGATGGGGTCCCAGGTACTTTTTCACGTTCTACTCGGAGTTCGGCGACGAGCAGGCCGAGTCGGCCGTGGAGGTTACCGTGTTCATGGTAATATTCGCCGCGTCCGTCGTGGCCAACGTGTCCATCGCCTGGGCCGTGCTCAGGTACCGGGAAATGCGTACCGTCACCAACTGCTTCCTACTCAACCTCACCATGGCCGACCTGTTGTTCGCCATCACTACGCCGGCGCTGGCTTACGTCCGTGTCCGGCCCGACTGGCCGTTCGGGGATTTCGTCTGTCGACTGTTGCCCTACTCGCAGGTGGGTGCCTATATTATTTTAATATTAATCACAGGTGGTCGGAAGTGGCCACGCATCATAAGCGAAATAAAAAAACCATAGTGCACAATATATATTTTGTTGTGTAGGGGCACTTCCTATTTATTTATAGTTATAGCTCAGAAAACTATAAGCAAGTACGTCTATGCAATATGCCCTAATTCGAAAAAAATCTCTAGCAAAACTGTTAAATATAAGAGAGATGTGTTCAGAACGATTTACATTTAAAATGTACTTTGTTTATTTTAGTTTAGGATGGAATAGATATTATATTTTATTAGGTAGTTAAAAAGTGTGAATGCTTCATACTTGTAAATAGTAGCCAAACTTTGGATTGTACACAATAGAAAATCGTTACGTTAGTTTTCGAAACAGTAAAGCGCTACAACTAACTACCGCATATAATAATAATATATTGTAATTTCTTGTGTTTAGTAAAATAATTGTTAACACGAGAGTGGATCAACTCTGCAGGTCTCTGACGTAGATATAACATAAGATAATAATATAAAAAACACTAATATATAAAACTGAATTTTAGATTCTACAATTTCAAAACATAAACTAGGTGGGTAATAATGTCGGCATTAGTTGTGTTTAATACATTTTGTTAGAGACTTAAAGTACATATCACGTGCGAGTATATATTGACTTTCATTTAGAGGTTGACATCAGCCAAGCTATCGCCTCCGGAGTTGCGTTGGTAGAATGCGTCTGTATTGTCATTATATTATATTTTCCTGTCGGCCAGAGCTTAACGTTGTGCTATATCGTTTGCACTTTCTCGCGAAAATCTCATCCCGAGATCCATCTCTAAATCCTTATGTGTGCATTTATCCATTGCTCCAGTATAAACGACATTATTGACATTATATCGTCATCGGTTTTGAAAAATGAACAATTTCATTATAAAATAAGTATTTTTTATAATATGTGAAGACGTTATTGAAATACTTAGAATAAAATGTTGTGAGGATTCACTCACGATAGCGTAATAATGGTGTTTATTGTAGGCAAGTGTGAACGTAAATATTGGGTGCATAATGTTCCGTTTATTATTTTATTTTATAACAGAACGGGTCGTGACCCAAAGTACAGACTAATAATACTATATATATATTATATATATATAAGAAATATTATGATATATGCTGACTTGAATAGGTCACTGATAAGTATACTAGAATTTAGTTATTTTCAAAACAACTCGATAACTATATGTGTTATATATTATTAAGTACGATGTTACTCGTATACCTATAGTTGTATATAATATTCAATACACGTGAATTTTGAATCGTCTAATTTATTATTTTTACATTTTGAAATCGATATTGAACAAAGAAAACTTGAGATAAAAATGGATTTTTATAATTCGGGTCCTATATATTCGAGCACGTCTCCGTTATGCCCGTCACGTTTCTGAATATACACTTTATTATGTATAACTTATATTATTATATTTTTGCGTATAACGGGTAGTATACTATGTACTGTATGCCTTTTTGGAGGAGGCGTAGGTACTGAAGGTGTAATAGGTACTTCTTTATTTTGTTTTTTTTAAAATAATTTGATTAGTAATAATATTACCGGTTATCCGGTTGCTCGTTACGCATATAGACGCCAGCTACCGATAAAATTATCTGAGTTACTACAAGCTAGTAGTAGCTACCTAGTCTTTAATTTTTCAGTTTCAGTCATTTAGGGCCTCTAAAACTAAATACGATTCCATCAAGCGGTTTTTACAATCGTGTATGCAGTTTGTTGGTTGTATTGGTATCATTGTACGTACACGGTAGGTCCGCAATAAGTAAGTACGTTTTAGAATGACGTAACCGACACCTACATTTAAATATGTGACTTTTAAATACTGATAAACATTATAAGTTTACGCCTATAGGTTAAACAAACTACAGTTTCACTAATAGACTGCTATTTTCAAAATATTTGACATAATACATGGTCTATTATATCTATTATTACGAGTCCTGACCTAATGTTTGCATGTATAATGAACGTGAATAGTATATTTAACACACAATAAGTAATTAGTGAATGATAATAATAGTATTAATATGTCACCTAAAACAGAACAACTGGTCAACAGTGAAATCTATTTGACTAACTAATAAAATAAAATGAATAAACAAAATCTTAACCATAGCAGTTTAGGTTATCCGAGCCATATTTTACTAAGTATAATTAATTTTAAAAATATTAAATTTAGTGGCGGGAAACTCCCACACTTTTAACCTTTTTCAGAAAATTCGCTTTTCGGCCATTAAGAGTCGTTTTTCCTTGTGTTTCGCCTTCAGATTTTCCTTCCTCTCTCTGGGTTTCCGTTTCTTTTCGGTACCCATGATATTCTTTTAACCGATCAATAGAAATGGTGTTAGGTTCTTTATCTACATACAGTATGGTAAAAAACTTTTCGTTCCTCTCCAACATCTGAATAATGGACCTTGGCATGGAAATTGCAACGCTTTCTTATTTCTCTGGCTTATGAACCCAAAATCAGTTTTTATTAGATCTTTTGCTGATAAACATATTATTTGGCTGACCCAGTCTTACTGTCCGAGTTGGGAAATTGGTAGTAGGGTAAAACTCCACTTCCCTTCTTTGAAAAATTCACCCGGAAATCGTAGGCGGGAGCCATAAATCAGTTCAGCTAACGATGCTTGTAGGTCTTCTCTAACACTAGTCCTTAGGCCTGATAAAATGAAGACAAACGTGTCGAACTTATCTTGTTGTGAGCTATTTTGGCCACTTTTAACGTAGTGGCGTTCCTCGGATCTACGATCTCGGGAGTGATAGCGGTTATCTTGAAAACGCCACAGACGTTAAATTTAGTGATTCAAACAGTTGGCTTAATTAAAATAATATATTACTTATGCATATTTTGTAATTTATAAATATTATGTTTATAATATAAACGCACGTGTATTACGATTATTATAAAATGTTTGTGGACTCAATTTGAGAAAACTATAGGTATAGATACTAATTCAAACATCAAAGCCAATCGTTTGTTGTTCAAGGTTTACAACAGATCAAAATAATATTATTTAAAAAAAAAAACCTTCGAGTTTTAACCAAATTTACCCTTGTGTTTTAATTATTTTAAGCACGACTTGTTTATTATTCTAATTAAATATCAGATACGATGAATAAATAAATACTTATTAGTACCATTCTAGATATTATATTTTAACCATCAAAATCGATGTGAAATAAAATACAGTAAGAAACCTACGTCACCTACGTACATGATTTTTACGATCGGTTTTAATAAAATAAAAAATAAATTTCTAAGAAAACGTTACACAATAAAATGTAATATAATTAAACTTAACGCTAACCATTATGTGATTTTATTGAAAAGAACTTTCATTACCTATACAGTACGTCATAATATACATCATAATGTTCTTTTTTATTTAAAATGCCGTCGTTGTATGCAATGTCCCTTTTAATTTATTTCTCATATTCTACTGTATATATATATTTAAATATTAAAAGTTTTTCATGCAAGTTACTCACCGATGGAAGAGAAACCCATTCAAAGCAATATCAAATAAATGATATTTGTTCAACAATAAGGTATAATGGCATTGATCATTAATTGATTTTCATATTTCACCCATGCCCTTTGTACGGCTAAGTAATTGAAAAATAAAGTCATGGCAATATTGTTGTAACATGGTTTTTGAGTTAATGTAATCCGCAATATGTTATTAATGTTCTATATACAACCATACAATAGTTTCGTTTCGTTTTAAATGACCATAATAATATGAGGACAAATGGTTTCAGTGTTAAAATGAAAATTGTGTAGGTACCTGCTTTTACCCACTGCAGCTTGGGGCTAGGGCTTTGCTTAAATATAGCAGTGTAGTAAATAGTTCACAAAGTTTGTAGTAAATGTGATAAAATAATAATTACAAATAGTGTGAAATGACTACCTATTTCTTGATGTGAGCTATACATTTATTAATTATTATCGTCTATATTTTACCCTAACGTACAATGTTAATATATAAATGAGAACGTACCTATTATAATATATAAAATTCAAAAAAAAAACAGTGTATCTATACCTTTAGACAATTATATTGAGTTTTTGCCGTCTCTCGACCATTTTAATCGAAGAAAAAATATACCGACTGATCTATTCTACGAATAGATTTGGCAAAACTCAAAATGTAATAATAATAGTTTTGCATTTTTTGATCAGTGATTCCCAGACTTTGTGATATCATAATATTCATAACGCATCATTGCAACAAAAATTACTTAAAAAACCATTAGAATCAATCTTCTTTAAATTGTTTGAAGTATAAATTACACTGCACTGCACTGATTATTATAGTTTCAATAAACATTTAACAATTTCAAACACGTAGGTACTTACCCACACAAAACTTAATATATTATGTACAGCACCGTACGACATAATTGTTATTAATATACTTATCTACCTAGTTATAAATTACTACCGGTCTATAAGTGTTTCGCCGTCGTTATAATATTGGGCGAGGATTTAAATGCTAATTGTAATTTTTCTGAATACCTATCCGAAGACATTGCTTTCAGACTACAAAATTCGTTTCATACATCAAAGAACTTAAAAATTAAACTTTAATTTTTTGGTATTTTTAGATTACTCTTTTATGTTCAGTACATATTTTATTTTGTTTATTTTACAACAATGAAAATAATTTGATCACAATTTACCATAAACTATCCCACTTAAAAGGTACCTTTTATTTATTTCGCTACCTCATCATATTTTGATTCTGGCAATTTGTTTTGTTTTTAGAACATTTAAATCCATGTACTATAAATATAAATAAATTAAATCAGTTGAATTAAAAAAAAATAAATAGGTACATAATTTGATTGTGCAACTACATTCTATGCGCCTACATCGGTTATATCATGAGACAGTACATAACTCTTAATAGTAAAAGTATCTAAAACTCGGTTGTCCTTGAACTATCTCAAGTAAATAATTTGACTTTGACCTATCTCTATCAATATGTACCTACTGCTTTAAATACTTCAAACTTTACAATAACATATAATAAATGTACCTACTCGGAAAACTAGTAAAGCTATGTAAAAGCTGTATGCCTGTATGCAGTGTCGGACTGGCTCGAAAAAGCCCAGTCCGCGATTTGGAAAAAAGGCCCCCCCCCAAACATGGCGAATGTTTTAATTAGCCCAGAAAAAAAACTCGCTTCGATCGCAATCCACTTTTCATGTACCTGTTACATAGTCACATATAGAACATTTTTTTTTCAAAACAATTGCCATCTTTCATATTACTTATCATACAGCCTTAAAGGCACAAATAACTAAATACATACCGAACTAAAATTCAATCATTGGATATATTAACAGGTTTTACTATATTTTCAATATAGAATTTATATTGAGCATATTCTCAAATCCAAGACTTTCTGCAGGTCCTAAGTAAATTGAGTACAAGAGACCCATCGGACTGTTTTTATTATCAGACAGGGGAAATCCCTCCTATTCAACCCCCCAAACTAAGCCACTGGGGCGTAGCCCTTATACTGACTACACCATGTTCTGTGACATCAAACATTATAAAGACAAACACCAATTCAAATTGTCTCAAATTGTGCACGACACAATACTTATCCAAAATATAATAATTCAGTTAAAATCAGCGATAATGCGAAATAATACCAATTACCAAGCACAGATATATATAATAATATATATTATATATATCTGTGTTACCAAGTCATACTCATACGCTCGTATAAATATAATATAATATTATTTAATAGTCACAACAATTTTACACTATTTATAATCAATGATACATATTTGTATATAGACACTAGACAGCTATTAAATTCGTAGAATGATAATGAATATAAGGTCATTATTTAAATTTTTTCCTATCATATTTCATTATTTTAATATTCATTAAGAACGTCTCAAGATTGTAAACAAAAATACGTTTCCTGATTTGAAAAAAAAAAATGTATATTTCGTATTTCTGTTTACTCTAAACGAATAATAATAATATTAATAGGTACAAAATCAGGGGCCTCCAATTACCATAATTAAGCAAGGGCCCCGTCCGCAATTGCGGACTAGCGGTCCGGGCCAGTCCGACTCTGCCTGTATGATATACTAATAATTTGATGAGACTCGATGAACTTCCAATTTGGAATCAATTTACGTGTATAAATACATTGTTAAATCGAGTTCGGAGACAAAACGCTTATTGTCGTGGAAAAATATTAACGTACGCTCTGAACGCTAAGTATAAGTTTTATTACACGTAAACTATGCTACCAGATACCACAAAGGCCAAGGTTATGTACATTTTAAAACAGAACTGGACGTCACACTCGCAGGGGTATTTTTCTGGAACACGACAATTGCATTACACTAAATGTCACCCGTCAAAAGTTTTTCGAACTGTATAATTCTACGCTGTCGTCTGGTCGGTTTGTTGCCAATTTCTCAAACAATGTTCAACGGTTCGGTTTTAATTTGTCAGTTTTCTATTTCAAGTCGCAAAAAAAATACTGTTACAGGTATGCAGTATTATAAATTATTTAAGATATCATGTGGAAGGATATCCAATTCGTGACCAAAAATTAATTTAACTAAAAAACGGAAATTAATAACTATATGCAGTAGTTTTTAATTTGTACCCACTCTTCGTTTCCGCTAATTCTGCTAAAACAGAATTGTGTTGATAGAGCGGAAAATTCCATTTATGTTGTGTTCCACGTTTATCCTACGCAGATATCGCCGGTCCTTCCCATAAGGCCATAAAACCCTCCTCATTAGGAACCCAATAGTTTTTGGGAGTTTGTAATTTGCGCCAAAATAAGGATAGGTTAGTAATTTATCCCACCACAGGTAGCCGAATATATAGTGTTTGTAATTTGCACCAAATGTAGGGTACGTAATTATTGCACCGTCGTAGCTGTTGTCGAAAATAGTGTTTGTAATTTGTACCAAAGTGAGAATTTTTGTACGTAATCGATTATCAAATATTCAATTATTTTGTCGGTATACCCAGCTAGTTGACGTCAAGAGTCAAGACTCGATGAAGTCGAATGAAAATAATATTTTTTTTTCCGAATTCCTAACTACCCACCGCCTTAATCTGGTACCTAATCATTACAAGGTTTGACGTCTGATCCGTCGTAATAGCGTTTGACAAAAATAATGCATTCATTATATTATTATTAGGTATTAATTATTATAATATATTATACAATAATGTTTTTCGTAATAATATATTATACCCTAACATTGTAGGTCAGACGTACCTATTGTATATCAGATGTATTTCGATATGATGTAGTTTTGAACATTATTTAATGAAAACTTGTTATTGATGCACCTTTATATAAAACTAATAAAATATTATATTATATTATGTATAGAGTGTAGAAAAAAAATGTTGCGTG